TGGCAATGCCACTGTGCGTGCGACTATCATAATAATTCGTGCTTGCCTCGCCGCCCGCATTCCCGTTTTTCTCGAGTATCCTCAGACCTCGCAGATTTGGTCGCACCCACAGCTAGCTCGTCTCTGTCGCAGGTCTTGTTGCCATAGGTCTGTATTGCACCAGTGCCAGTATGGGGCTGAGTATAAGAAGGCTACCACCATCTTGTCCTGGGGCGCCTGCTCCACGCGCGCGCTGGTACGCGCGTGCGCAGGAAAGAGAGGCATCTGCAGTAGGACAGGCAATCATTATGTTATTTTAGAGGACGAAGACTAGCAGGGGCGATGGCGCACCGCGGTGGCCGCTGAGTACCCTCGCCCACTCGCTCTGGCCGCCACTCAGTGCATCATCGATGCGATGCGCGTTCAGCCCGGCCTCGCCCTCCTGTCCTTCGCGATGAAAAAATGATGTTTTTTTGTGTGTACGGCCTTCGGCCAACTGCACCTTCGGGATCGGGCGCGGGCCGCGCAGGTGGTTCACGCGAGCGCCGTCGCCTTCCACGCCCAGTCTCTGCCGCCTCTCAGCTCGATCGGCTCTTGAGAATGCCTGGCCCCCTGGTGCCCCAGAAGGAAAAGGATTCCCGGCCTGGGAGCCGCTGCGAGCTGGTAGTTTTCACAAGTGAGGGCTTAGCAGAGGCAGAGGTCCGACGTGCTCATAATTTGGCTTTTAGTTTTTCCCATGGCCATCCCGACACGCCTCTTCGCTCAAATTTGACGGAGCGCTGGCCGCGCAGGTGGTTCACGCGAGCGCCGTCGCGCTCCACGCCCAGCTTCTGCCGCCTCTCAGCTCGATCGGCTCTTGATAATGCCTGGCCCCCTGGTGTCCCAGAAGGCAAAGGATTCCTGGCCCGGGAGCCGTTGCGAGCTATTTATATATATATATATATATATATATGTGCGTGTATATATACACACATGCTTTGCCTGTATTTCGGCCGCGTGGATGCATATAAACGAACGCGACGATGGGCATCCAAAAGTGGGCGCCCCTTTCAACTGCGCGGGGAAAGGGGGGCACGGCCACGTTAGACAACCCATCCGATGCATGCGGAGCCCGTCGCCCGAGGCTGTGCCCCGCGCAAAAAGGATTGGTCCGCGCCGCCGAGGCCGCGAACCCTCGCGTTGTCATCGTCAGTAGCTTCTCCCTTTCATTATTGTCGCCATCGTCCTCCTTCACATGCAGATCTATTGTTTTTTTTGGCTGCGCGCGCGCAAATGGACGAACCGCGACGAGGGGGGCAGCGCACGCGCAACGCGCGAAAGACGCGACGATTAGGGCATCCAAAAATGGATGCCCTTTTAAACCGCGCAGGGCCTCGCCTGCAACTCAAGCCAGCGCTGCCCGGACGCGTCGGAGCAGATTGCTGCGCGCAGCGCCCTCCAACGGAGAAAACATGAACACCGACGGAACGCAACATAAATCCAACGTGTGCACAATTAGGGGGCATCTGTTATACATGGGCACCCCTTGCGCTAAGTCCCCCGCGCCCAGGAATGGCGAAACGCGCACGTGCGTTCTCCGTTTGACGCAGATCAGGAAAAACCTCAAGGGGCGCGGTAGCCGCAGCTGAATTCCAAACGGAAGCTGGTGCCAGGCACCCACGCACCCGAAAACAAACACCCGGGGGGCGCCCGAAAGCACCCGAAGGCCACCCGCAAGGGGTGGCCACACACCTTGCGTTGAGCGGGCGATGGGTCTGGGCGACGAAACAGAAAAACAAATAACAAAAAAATAACAAAGAATGGCAATTTGGGAAACCACAAACGCTGTGTTTTGCATGTGCCATTGGTTCTTGAATACAAGAAGAACAGAAGAACACAACAACGACAATCTGGAGGCGAAGAAAAACTAAGTGTTCACAGTGTTTGGGCAACTTCGGGCTGTTATGTTTGGTGTTTCACAGCGTTTTGGGTCCCCCCGGATGGTATTTTTGGCAGTGTTTGCCTTTCTGGCGTTTGCTTTTCGTCGCCCAGACCCACCCCCCTCGCGCCGAGCGGGCGATGCGCCTGGGCGGCGAAAGAGAAACAACACCAACAAAAACAATATGGGATACCAAGAACGTTGTGTTTTTCAGCAACAAGTTATTTCACGTAAAAACAAACAAATGTAGAGGCGAGGAACACCTGTGTTCACAGTGTTTGAGCACTTTCGGGTTGTCTAAATAAAAAACCGGGGGCACCACTCACGCTGTGTTTTTAAGTAGAAATGTGTTTTATTCCACAGCAGGAGAGAAACGCAACAACGCAAACACAACAACACAAAATGATAAACAACATAAACAAAGACAGCTGATAAACAAAACACGCGCACGACAATTATACAGCCTGGAACTGCTCAGGGATTGTGACAACACAGGTTTTCCGTGTTCACAGGTTGTCTTGTTTGTGTAAGCGCAGCGCTTCGGGCTGCCCAAATTGTTGTCTTTGTCTGTGTTGTTGTTGTTTTTTTTCGTCGCCCAAGCCCACCCCCTTGCGCCGAGCGGGCGATGTGCCTGGGCGACGACAGATTTGTTGTTTAATAAGAAAGTATATTATTTGATATACCAAAAACGTTGTGTTCTTAGTTTGCAATTTGCATTTCGTTGAATACAGAAAAACACAAACAACAGCAAACAACTATCCCGAAGCTGTTCAAACACTATGAACAAATAACAGGTTTTCCGTGTAGCCAAATTTTATTAACTTAAAAGCCAGTATTCAGTTCAAAACACAGCCGTTTTCGGTAGGTTGTCCCAGTCTCGTTTGTATTGTATCTTGTTTGTTTGTTTTTATCCGTTGCCCAGGCCCACTCTCTTGCGCCGATCGGGCGATGCGCCTGGGCGACGAAAAAGACACAACAGACAAAACACATAATCTGGGAGACCAGAATGGTTATATATATATATATATATATATATATATATATATATATATATACATATATATATATAAACGAAACTGCTCGAACATGGTGAAACACCCGTTTTCTGTGCTCCCAGTTTTTTTTTGTGTTTGTATGCAAAGCATGTATTACTTACTAGCAAAACGCTCCTGTCTTTCAAAGTGTTGGTTTGTCTTGTTTGCCTTTGTTGTTGTTTTTTCCGTCGCCCACCCCCTTTTGCGCCGAGCGGGCGATGCGCCTGGGCGACGAAAAAGACAATACATAACAAGAGCTACACCACAAACAATTTGGGAAACCAGAAACGCAGCGTTTTCAAATGACTATTGGTTTTGAGTTAAAAACAGAAATACACAAACAAAAACAGTCCGAAACTTCTCAAACACTGTGAAAGCACAGGTTGTGCGTGCTCCCAGATTGTTTTTTTTTGTGTGTGTGTGTTTTTTCTTTCACGAAGAACCATATGTCATTCAAACACAGCGTTTCTGGCTTCCCAAATTGTATGTTTTGTTTTTTTGTCTTTTGGGTTTTCTTCGTCGCCCAGACCCAGTCCCTTGCGCCACAAAAGAATTTTTTAAGCGGAGTACGAAAGGGTTCCTTCTGTGGCTGTTTGCAGACGAATTTTGTCAGATGCAGATTTCAGAATGACCCCGTGGAAGACGGAGGAGAAAAAAGTAGAGGAGGACGCCCACTGGAGTCCCACGCTTCGGAAACCTTCACGCGAGCCTTGTTTGAGGGGGCGGAGATAAAACCCTTGCCCGCCGCCCGTCCGCCAATTGTCGAACTGCCGAATGAGAAAACGTTCGTTCCGGGAGGAGATCCGTTGTTTCCGGCCCCGTCGCCGCTTTGATCTGGCTCCGGCTTTGACTTCAATTCCGGAGCCGCTTTGTTTGTCTTCCGTGTCGGCGAACCGTTTTCGTTGCTGTTTTTTTTGCGCAAGGACAAGGCTTCTTGAGACGGTCAGAAACGGCCCTGTCGTCTCCAAGGGCCACTGAGATCCGTGAAAGGTGCGCGGACCACTTGGTCGGACGAGGCTGGGACGAGGATAAGATCCGTTCCAGAGCGTTCTGGAACGCTCTCCGAGCGAAGCTATGCAATGACTAATCGTCAATACCAAGATATGCACGTCGATGCAAACGGGAGGCAAAGCAACGCAAGGAATCGCAATGCGATGCAAATCAAAGCAACGCAAAGCGACGCAACGCGTTGCAATTCTATGCAAAGCGACGCAGCGCAATGCAAAGCAATGCAAACCTACATTCCTGCAACGCCATGCAGATCATGCGAAGTACTGCAATACATCGCAATGCACAGCGATGCAAACACATGCGAATAAGCAATATGAATATAATGCGCAGCATGGCAACGCGAAGCGAAGTAAAGTGAGGCAAGTCAATTCAAAGAAATGCATATCAACGTAAAACCAGTGCACAGCGATGCAAAGCAATGGAATTCAATACAAAGTAACGCAAAGCAAGTCAACATGTTTTTGGCCTCGACGGCGACGGAGCGGCAACGGCGACCATCTAGACGCCAGACCGACGGGCAGGCCCAGAGCGACGGGCTGCGACGGCGACCGCATGGCCGTCAGACCGACGGGCAGGCCCAGAAGACAGGCGGCGACAAGGCGGCGACGGGGCGGCGATGGTAATCAAGTGGCGGCGGTCCCGACGCGCAGGCCCAGACGACGAGCGGTAACGAGGAAGCGACGGGGCATTGCCGATGGCCGCCGGACCGACGCGCAGGCCCAGACGGCGGGCGGCGACGAAGAGGCGACGGGGCGGCGACGGCGACCACATAGCCGCCAGACCGACTCGCAGGCCCAGGTCGTGAGAAAACAGGTAAGGCCCCCGAAGTGCAAACACTGTTCGGTGGTGAACACAATGCGTGCACATGGCCGTGTTCTCACCCCCGGCACACGGCCACAGTCCCTTGTAACAAATACACCACGGCGCACATGGACGTGCTCTCAACCCTGCCACGCCTAGGGATCCCTAGGACTTACCCACCCGCGGCCCCGCCCGGCACTTCGCCTCCAGCGCCCAGTCTACTCGGGCGCAGCCCCACAGCGGGGAGTCGCCCACAGGATCAGCTCAGCGCCGACATCGACAAGCTGAAGAGCGACGCCACGGCGGGCAGATCCAGGGGAGGGAGCAAGGGAGGACGGGACGAAGGAAACAATACAGTGGAAACCCAGGCCAAGAAATACCCTTCTTGCCTCAAGGGTTCCCTGGGTTGATTGGGTTCCAATGGTTTTGCGATGGAACGCGTGACGTTCCCACACCGAAATTCAATGGACGTCCTGGGGTCTCAGGGTTGGGCTTCTTGTGAAAGGTTTCTTGTGATCGAGCTCCTACTGTACAGGGAGGCTGCAAGTGAACGAGCAGCCCTCGATCAGAAAGAAGGGGACAGCTCACGACGAGTACGCGTGCTGAACGCACGATCAACACATTGGTGCGCGGCGACGTCAGGGGCAGGGTCTCCTTGCACGGGCGGCACGGCGATCTGGCTGAAAGCGAGCGGGCGGGACCCACTCGCCAGTATCAGCGAGGGAGGAGGGGGAAAAGGAGGGCGAGAAGGGACGTGGTGGAGGAGAGGGAAGGGGGGGGGAGGTGGAGGACAGGGAGGAGGCGCAGCAGGAGAAGGAGGAAGAGGAGGCTCTCCAGGAACGTGAGGCAGAGGAGGCTGGCGACGAGGAGGCACGGGGTCCGTGCAGAGGAGGAGGGGGGAGCAGGAGGCAGGGGAGCAGGAGGCAGCAGGGAGTAGGATGAGGGCGGGGAAGCAGGAGGCAGAGGAGGAGGAGGAGGAGGAGGAGGAGGAGGAAGAGGAGGAGGACGAGGAGCACCTTGTCATTGGCGTTCATTCGCAGAGAGACCGTCTGGGCTCTATGGAATGCTTGGCAGTGCGTGGTATTGCTTGGCTTTGCTTTGTAGTGCTTGACAGCGGGACACTTGGGCAACCTGAGCTACCAGGCCACCGGGCAACCTGGCAGCAACCCAGGCGACCGGGCGACCGGGCAACCCGAGGACGGCAGGGCAATTGGGCAACCCAAGCAAGGCAGTGCAGCAGTCAATGGAAGAAGGCCAGGCGGCCGGTCAATTCGATGAACGCCCTCTGGCTTAGTTTTTGCACCTCCCGCCGATTCTTCAATGAACCCAGAGCGGCACTAGTAAGGGGAAGGCTTTTTTGCGTGAGTATTTGACTGAACATGGAGGTCCTTGCTTTGCATCGTTTTGCATTGAATACCTTTGCATCGTTTTGCGTTGTATTGCCTTGTTCGGCATTGCTTCGTACTGCTTGGTGTTATTTGGCATTGGTTGGCATTGCTTGGTATTGAGCTGTGTTACCTTGCATTGAATTGCTTTTCAATGCAATATTTTGTCTTGCTAGGAATGGGTTGGCATTGCTTGGCATTGAGTTGCGCTGCGTGGCGTTGCGTTGCTTTTCAATGCATTGCTTGGCATTGCTTGGTTTTTTTTGGCATTGCTTGGCGTTGCTTGGCATTGCCTGGCATTGCTAGGCTTTGCTTCGCGTTGCTTGGCATTGTTTGACATTGCTAGGTAACTGGACAGAGAGGCAACCCATGCAACGGGCAATTTGGGCAACCAGGCAACCCAGCAATGGGGCGACCCGCGGGCAACACGGGCAACCGGACAACCTGGGCAACCCGAGGAAGGCAGTACAACCAGGCAAGTCGACGAAGGCCAGACAACCAGGCAGCTCGAGGAAGGCTGGGCAACCAGATAACCTGAGGAATGAACGCTGCCCGTCGTAGGCCTCGCACACAGCATTTCTTCAAATGAGGTAAGTCGAAGATGAAAAACAACAAAAAACATAAACATAAACTTTCGACGCTCCACTCGGATTTCTTGGATCTGCGCTGGGGCCCCCTGGCGGCGCCTCCGGCGCCGCCCCTGGCGCGCTCCGCGCGCCAGGGAGGCCCAGCGCAAATCCAAGAAATCCGCGCGGACCGTCGAAAGTTTATATGTATATGTTTTTTTTCTTTCCCTCTAACAAGTATCCCCTCACTCAAGCCTACTACTCAGGGAGGGGCAAGGGTATGTTTCCCTTTTCAGGCGTGTACAAGGAGTGTCGGACGTGCACGGGGGGGGGGGGCGGGCCCAGGGTCAGCCCAGAGAGAGGCCATCGGGCTAAAAGGCGGTAAGTCGGGCAGATAACGAGATGATGGTGATGCCAGCGGCTCGCGTCCAGGACGTCTCAGCCACGCGCAGAGGGCGGAGGGGGGAGGGGGGAGGACTTCTTAGAAGCACCCCTGCTTCTTAGAAGGCGCGGGCCTTATCTATAGATGTAAAGCCGGCGCCTTCTAAGAAGCAGCCTCCTTCTAAGAAGTTCTCCCCCCTCCCTCCACCCCTTTGCGCGCCGCCGAATGATGTGATGCCAACGGCTCGCGTCCAGGATATTGCCAATCGAGAAAAGGAGCATGACCACCCTATTGGCTGGAAGAGTAGTCCGAGACGATTTAGGTACGGGTAAAACGCAGGTAGCATGTAAAGCGAGCCGCCCCGCACGCCACTGGTGCCAGCGGACTCGCTAGATCGACAAGTCCTGAAGTCGTGAACAGTAATTGGTGACAGTACTTGGTGAGCAGCTCAATGCTCTCGTGGATGGCGAGGAACTGGTTCGACCCCCTCGAGTGGCCAGCGGAAAAATGGTGATCGCATGATTCGGTGTCTCTCTGAGAAGGCTCGCTAGTGGCCTTAAGCCTGAGGCCCATCCCGCCAACGTGCCTGGGTCGTGGGTCAAAGGCGTGTTGGATACATCTCGTGATCTCTGGGGATGCCTCCCGGGGGCCTCTTAGAGGCCTCCCGGGTCCTTCTTGGGGCGTCCTGTGGGAATCCGGGGCCTCTGAGGCGCATGTTCGGGGTCTCGGGGGCCTTCTTGGAGGGGAGGCTCCCAATGCCCCTTCGTCTTCCCCCGCTTGTCCCACTCCTCGGGTCCGTTTCGGAGCCGCTTGGGCCCTCTTGGGTCGTCTTGGGGCGATCTTTGGAGCCTCTTGGGCCATCTGGGAGCGTTGGGAGCCCGAGAAAGAGACCGCGCTAAGATGATTCAAACCCTCAGCACCGAAGGAAAGTCAGCGAGTATGGCTCCTTGGAGCCCTTGGCACTGGGGGGGTTAGGCCCTGTGAACTGCCGTGCGTGGCGCCCCTGGAGTCCTGCGGCGATCACCGGACAATCCCGAAATTGGGGCGTTTGGCCTCGGAACGAATTCCATTGCGTTCAACAGAGATCTCGAAGCTTCCTGGGAGGCCCTCGTCGCCACCGCTGGATTCGCCTCGAAATACCGGTCAGAGCGCATCCCAGGAGAGGTCTGGAGAGTGGCGGTATCGGTACCTTTCTTTTGGTTTTCCCAAGTCAGTGCCGTGCGTACACGGAGTCGGAGGGTCGCGCTGCATCGATGCGGAGCCCGAGTAGTCTCGTCCCAACGTCGATGATGAATTGGGCATGCGTTTCGCTCCTCCGACCCGATTTGTCCCGAACCTAGCTTGAGTCGCCTGATTCACTGCTCCCGAACCAAATGACGACATAATGATACATCGTTTGAGATCCGCGCGAATTTCGCGCGTCTGCGTTGGACCCCCCTCGCCACCACGTCCTTTCCCCAACGCGCGGGGCGCGCCAGGGGCGGCGCTTGAGGCGCCGCTGGGAAAGTGTCCAGCGCCGACTCAAGAGATCCGCGCCGACCTCCGAGAGTTAATGTTTGCGTTTTTTGTTGTTGTTCGGTTTCGGTTATTCCCGCGCTTCTGGAGGGTCCCGTCGCCGCGAATGGGCGCGCCTCGAAAAGTTGACCAGGACTGAGCTCGGGAGGGGTCCACGATCGAATTTGAGCGGATTTCAGAGGCGGCAATTTGTCCAGACCCACCGCTTGGTGGGTAGATCTTTGGGGACCTTGGCGAGCGTTGGGTTAGGATCGGTTCGGGCCCTGGGTTGGCAAAAACACTGCCTGCCGAGGTCCCCGAAGATCCCCCAAGCGGTGGTTGTAGATAAAACCCCGCCTTGCAAAGATGGTCCTCGGGACCTCGGGAGATGCCGCTCCTGCGCCGACTCCGTGACACGTGCAGAACTATGTTGGGTTGCCCGAGTCCAGAGATTTTGCAGCGGGCCTGGCAGGTTGTACGTAGGTGACATGCGGTGATTCGTGAGCCCCTTGCCTTTCCGTTCCCCCCGCTCTCCGAGGAGTGGCGTTGAGAAAACAGACTGGACTTCGTGAGTACCCCTCCACTCCTCCATTTTTCTTCTTCCTCCCTCGAGTGAAGATGTGATCGAGGCGTCTCTAGGGGAGTGACGCCTGCCCTCGTGCACTGCCCCACCCATTTTCGCTGCTCCTGTCCACGATTTCCTCTACGGACGAGCACATTCCAGGCCGCTGCGGAACGGAACGACCGACGTGGAGCGGGCTGTGGTCGGACGGCGACGAGCCCAGGCACGGGCTTCTGGAGGTGCGGGCAGCCCACCGCCGGAATGCGGGGGCTGGGGCTGGGGAGGCCGCCGAGTCGAAGGTGGAGGAGCTCGCCGCGAGCATCGCGTCTAGCCAGGACGGGCGGGGCTTGGTGTATGCTCGATCTTGTGGTTTGTTTGTCTGCCTGCTCCTCTCCACCTTGCTGGGCACCCGAAGGAGCCGGGATGGGCTTGCTTCAGGTAGGCGGTCCTTGTTCGGCGTTCGCAGGTGAGCGACGCAGGAAAACGGGGCGACTGCGCGGACATTGTCGCGTAGGCTGTCCGCGTAAGGTCGCGCGTAAGGGGCCTCGTTTCCTATGTGGCGTGCCGCGCTGGCGGCCCGCGTGAGCGTACGCGTCAGGTCGTTTTTCGCTTCTCGCGTAAAACATGGGTCTTTTGGTCGTCGGTCGCTGAAGTGTGATGCGGGTAATATCTTGCAACCGCTTGATCTGAGATGCAAGATGTTTCAGGAGAGTATCGGACAGTATCTGCAAGAGGCAGAATGTGATTCTTCTCGCTTCGCGGGGTGCACGTCCGGAGCACGTAGCGACTGGGCGTCGGGTGGTTTGCCATGTGGGTCTGCGTCGCTGGTTTGCCGTGTCTTCTTCAAGAGGGGCCGCAGATGCGCCCCAACCCTTTTCAGCGCAATAGTTGGATACATTGGATTCGTTGCGTTGTAGCATACGGAGAAAACGCTGCTGCTTAACACGTCACCTCTGGACGTGGATTCCTTCCTCTTCGCGGGGTGCTCGTCAAGACCACGTACAGTCCAGCTGTGGAACTTTGTTGGAGCATCTTGGGGCCTTCTTGGGGGTCTCTTGGGGACTTCTGGGGCCACCATGGGGCTTCTTCGGAGCCTCTTGGGGGTCGTCTTGGGCCTTCTTGGGGCGCTCTCGCGATGTGTAGTTCCTGCGGAGGCCGTCTTGGTTGCCTAGGGGCCGCCTTGGGGCACTCTGGGCACCTCTTAGTCGATAAAGGCGAGAACGCTAAAATCCAATGACCATACGACAATCAATCAGTTTGGCTCCGCCTCCTCGTCTTCCGCGTCGTTTTCTTCCTGTGGTCCGGACCGGGACGGGAAGCTGAACCGCTGTCATCGTGAGCGGGGGGCAGGCCACTCAACATTTCGTCAGCAAAATCCCTGGCGCGCTTCCGACCTTCGAAAGCTTCGATTCGAAAGGATACGAGCGCGGTTCACGACCACGGAGAATGCTGAAACAGGAGCATGCAAACACTCCTGGTGGTCCGTGCCAGACTGGGTCCTCCACCCCGACGACTCGAAGCTGGTGAACGAGCGCAGGTCCGAGCCAGAGTTGGTCCTGCAGCGCGTGCCCGACGCGATCATGGTGAAAATCCCAGGAAGCACGGCGCCCCGTTTTGGCAATCAGCCCGCTGGTGTCTTCCCGGTGGAGCGGAAGAAAGTGTCCTGGGATCGCAGCCCCGGTTTCAAAGCCATGGTGAAGCGCGCGGGCTTCCCGTTGGTCCCACAGTTTGCCGCCGCGGCCCACTTCGTCACCACCGCCATTCTGCCACAGGCCATCATCGACCTCCTGGACGCGCGCGCGACGCCCCGTGCGTCCATGGTGCCCACGGGCTACGCAGCCGTCAGCCGCGCCTGGAGAGTTGGCGACCTGATCATCACCCAGTTTTTTCCCCATGCTGTTCCGCCAGGTGCGCCAGACGGGCCCGCTGCTCGCTCGCGCATTCCCACGCAGCCTGGGGAGATGACGGCGGAGCAGACGAGAGCCGGCTGGGCCAAGGCAGAGAAGGAAGCGGCTTCCAGGTCGCCCAAGGAATTGGCGGTCGCCTCTTTCTGGCGCGGCGACTGCCACCAACGGAAGGAAGCGGGCGACTTCCCAGGAGGTGGCATGAGCACGAGCGATTATGTGGAGCACGCCGTGGCGGTGCTGAGTCGGGGCGCGTGGAGGAGTTGGGCCCTCTGCGCGCAGAAGCAGGCCAGACGTGCTAGCGCCGGTTTGTAAAATGCCCATCCCGCGCGCTTCTCCTCGAGCGGGGCGGCGTCCCCGAGCGCTGCGAGCGCGGGCAGCGGACGTCGCTGGCGCGCTTCAGATTCGGAGAAGTGAACGTTCTGAATGCGCGGGGAGACCTCGACCGCGCCGTCTGCATCGGCTGCGCCCCAGGTCGGCCCCGCTTCAAAGCGCAGTTGGAAGTCCGTCTGTTCAGGCGCGCGCAGTGCGCGGCCCAGAAGCTGAAGGAGGAGTTCGACGAGACTTTCCTCAAACAGCACCGCAGCGCGAATGACATGATCTGCGCGGCCTGTGTGGATGCGAAAATGAGACCCCTGCGCCGGGGAAAAGATGGGCGTTGCGGGGCGAGGCCGCCAGGGCGCTCGCAGAACGGGCGCGAGCACTAGTGCGAGAGCTGGAAATGCCCGCCGCGCTCGGCGCGCGGGGTGACGCCGCGGCCGAAGATGGCACGCGGCGAGGAGGCCGCCGCGGCGGGCCTGCGCGGCGCGCCGCAGGGGGAGCGACGCCGTTCAGTGCGGGGCGCGTTCCACCGTCAATCCCCGGGGAACCGCCTGGACGTCGCAGCAGAGCTGCGGGGGGATCCTGTGCCGAAGATACCAGAGGAAGGCATGTGTTTTCCTCGCGTCACGCAACCTGGCCCCGCGCGACCGCGCGCCCCACCGCGGCGCGCCCAGCCAGCAGTTTGCGCCGCCGCGCGGAGCCTTATCGTTAGAGCGCCGCTGCGCCCGCGCCGTTTCCAGCGCCCGAGCCTGGTCGCGTCGCGCGGGGTCGCCGCCGGCAGCTGTGCGCGGAGCCTGCCCGACGCTGCGCCGGGCAGAATAATTATTGCGTCCTCGTGGGGCGCAGGGACTGCGAGGGCGCCGACGCCGCGCGCGCGTGAAGCCCGCTCACTTCCCCCTTATATCCTCTCTTACCGCAGCTGCATTGGCTCAAGGTATTGGCGTAACTCTGACAGTGCACTGCTCCCTGAGCATTGCCTTGGAAAAGGAGTTCCTCCCATCGCCTCTACCTCGGGCCCCGCGTAGGAACGGCCCCTCGACCGTCTCCCTATACGCGCAGCTTATCAGCCTTCTCTCTTTCGCTTTTCGCTGTCGCAAGTCGCGTCATCTTGGACTCCGCCGCTTGGCGCTGCAACTCCGTTGCCCAGCCTGCGAGCGCGCGATCTCCTCGGCGGCGCGGTCTCGCGACGGCACCATGGAGAGGGCAAGATCATATGTGATACTTTTTTCCCCCCCTCTCAGGTGAAGGCAGCGCTGCGTCTCTCGCGGCTGCACTCAGCGAATTCTTACCCGATTATCCGATGCTTCCGCCGCCCGCGCGCGCTCGCGCGCCTCGACCCTCGCGACGGCGGCTGGATTCGCCCTGCGCAGCACCTGATAAATCCGCGCCGCGCCCGCCGGTGGCAACGCCCACAGTTGCCCCGTCTGTCGTCGGAGCCGACGCTGGCTTTACTACGCCTGCCCACTCCCCGCCCACCTTCGCTAACACGAGCGGCGCCGGTGGCAGCGCCCGCAGCGGCCGTCGCGCCGCGAACGTGCCCCCTGACATCGCTTTCGCGCGCAGCCGCCGCTGGGCTACGGCCCCGTCGCCCACCAATGTCTCCGTCTCTGAACATGCACATGCGCGAGTCATAGAAAACTGCACTGGGCGGATGTCTCAGCGCCAGGTCCCTGAAAGGTATCGCATTCGCTCTCCCACTAGGGGCGCCAGCCGCAGCCCCTCTCAACAACGTTCCTGGCATGGCTCTCGACGGCGCGACCTCGTTGCGCACTCCTCTCCCGCTGCCAGTGATCTTGCAGAGCTACGAGACCAGGTTGAAACCTGCGCGACCCAACAGCTCTCGGGCCTGGCCGCTCAGACGGCCACCTTCAGACAGGAGTCACAACAAGCTCTTGCCTTGGTCGACGCCGGGACCGCCGAGGATCGATCGATCATCTCTCAGGTGCAATTCCAGGTCGACCAAATGGAGTCACACCGAGGTGCCGGCTCCAGAACGATCCAGACGCTTCACGACTACCTCCTACGGATGGAGGCCCAACTCGTGACCGTCAGGGATACAGGGGCTGCCGCGGTCAGGGCACTACGCGATGATCTCTCGACGGTACTCCAGACTCCACCTATGGAGGTACATGGAAACACGGACTCGCAGTTAACGTGGGAAATTGGACACAATTCGTACTCAGGTCGAACAGCATGCTGCCACCATGCACTCCAACCACACCACACTCACGTCAGAGTTAGATGGTAAGCTGCCTGGCGCCGAGATGGCCCTCACTCGCCGTCTTGAAGCTTTCGAAGGACGCGCGCAAACGCTCGAGAACCGAGTCCCCCAGGTCGAGCAGCAGATCCCAGAATTAAGGACTGCGCTGACTGAGTTACGTGTTGCGCGGACCCAGACTGATCAGCTGGGCACCCCCCATTTCGGCGCACGATTTCGCCTCCCTCGAAGCCCACGTGGCCGAGGTGCGGCAAGCGGCGGACCACGCGCAGTTACGACTCACCCAGATCTCCCAGGAAAGAGACGCAGACAGTGCACGGGCCGACTCAATCCGTGCCCGTTTGGAACAAGAGCGCGAAGCACACAAGCAGCGATTCCAATACCTTGAGCGCAGGCAGAACAGGTACTCCCAGCGGACCCACGATACCAACGTCGAGCTAGCGGTCTTCACCAGAGAGTTCAACAGATACAGCACAGCGTTTCGACCAACGAAGCTACCCTGACCGCGCGCGTTAGCAGCGCTGAGCTCCACCAGCCACCTCCAGACCATCGACCGGCCCGAATGCATGCCGATGGTGACATCCGCACGGGCCATTTTCGACGTACATCGCCAGGCGCCGCCTTTGCTGCGGCCTCAACACAGACACGTCACGCATCCCCTTGGCGACCTCCCTCCCCGACGCAACCGTTTCCTTCGCAGACGTTATCACGCGTCTCTGTGCCGCCGCAACTCCAATCAAGGTGTCCGACACCGTACGCGCACCACAACTGCCGCGCATTACACAACCGCAAGAGTGGCAACATATGGTTGCCAACAACTTTTGCAGCACATCTGGGTGCCCCGCCAAAGCTTATACATTCCTATGCGTTACAGAACAATCTGCGGCAACCTACGAGGACTTACAAGACAGCGGCGACTCCGAAAGTATCGACTGCAAACTCGCAGCTGGACTCACTGCTGGTCTGACTTCCGAGCTGCGCTACCGCATCAAGAACCTCACAGCTCAGGAACACAAGGCCGGGCGCATGCTAAAAGGCAGAGAAATCTACTGGACGATACTACAGTCCTACAAAGTCACCACAGCCGACGACACTCTGCACGACTTTGAACGTCTGCAACTACTACGCATGCGTGACGACGACCTCCAACGGTTCATTGTGGACTGGGGCAACCTATGCTTGGAATGCCGCGAACCACCCGACGCAGAAATATTGGAGTCATTATTCCGAGCTCAGATACGACGACATTATTTGACGAAGCAGGATATGCACGACTACAACACATGACTCCCGACCCCAATAAACGCACGTATGGTTTCGGCAGCGTTTTTGACAACCTAGAATTCCATCGACTTGAGCGCAACCAGCATGACCTCAAGAACGAATCGAGCCGACGCGACTCTGCGATCTGCGCAGTGTTCAAATCTGGAAGGTGCGAGAATGGGGGCCGATGCAAGTTGTTGCATACTTGCTCTGGCAGTCGCCCGGCTACGCGACCCACTCAACGATCGTCTGTTCGCGACAGGGGCCACCGTGAGACACGGTCTTCTATTGGCCGCTCTTCTGGACCTACGACGAAAGACGCGCTGGCATAACTTCTGCTTTGATTTCGCCCAGCACGGATCCTCTTCAAACCAAGATCGTTGCAAGTACCCCCACATGCCGAAATGCATTTTCTATGCAGATCCGAAGCAAGCATGCGCGCGCGGCGACCAGGGAGACTCTTGAACGGAGCCTTGTTCGGCAGCGCAGCAAGGACAGCCGCGACAGGTTGCCCTCCCCGCGACGTGCGGGGGGCCAGAGGCCGTCGCCCTGCAAGGACCGACAGCATTCCCGCCGTCCGGGGGGTGCACGTTGGTCACAACGAGGGTCGCCGTCTCCAGAACGCGGGGGGCGCTCCGACTCTCGAACTCCGGGGGGTCGCGGATGGCCCCCCCCGCTCTCCGCAACGTTCGCGCTCGTCGTCTGGGCCCTCCCATCGGGAACCTTCCCGCGGCCGCTCTCCTACAAGGAGCGGCATAACTGGGCGCCAGTTCACCTTCCAGACACTACAGCCGATCACCAATTATTCGTGATCGTGCCCAGTGATCCGCTGCAGGCCGATGCGATCGACGCCGTGATCGCATTTGTATTTCTCGAGAATGGATCATGATCCTGTCCGGCTCAACAAAACGAGAGATGCGATTTGACTTCTGGCAACGTGGACATCACTACTTACACGGTAAACTATAACATGTACAAATGGACAGAATCACCATGTTGCAGAGGTGACACAGCCGAAGTGATTGACGTCGTACCCGTTTGGTGCTTACAGGCCAGTGCGCGTGCGCTCCGCAAAGCGCAGGAGGATGCAAAACGGTTGTACGACGGCTTCAACACACCGCCGCGTCCTACCTCCGCGACGTTGGATAGCGGCTCTGCCCACCACGTCCAAGACAAGGCCGACTTCCTACCACGTGAAACCACTCGAGCACGACAAAGGCGATAACGCATTCTTGACAACCAACGGCGACCGAGTCGTCAACGAGCACATCAAGCTCGCACTGTCCCAGATCGGCCTCTCCAGTTCGGCCCTGGCTATGACGGATCGCGCTTCGATATTATCAGTGGGACAATTGGTACAGGAAGATGGGTTCAGACAGCTTTGGGATCCTAATCTTGGTCGCCTTCTACAAGACCCTCGCGGTCAATGTCGCAGGGTTCACGTCAACGACCGAACCCCAGAGCTCGACGCCCACAACCTGCAGAACATTCCGCCTCCTGACCTGCGCGCGTCATCTCCTGCTTCGCGATGCTCCTCCTCCTTGTTGGCACCCACCCCAGGCGAGGTCGATTCGACAGCGCCGGTGGCAACGCCAGCACCGACACTGCTCGCTCCCACGTGTAACGCACACTAGGTTCCGACGTTGGCGCCAGTGGTCACACCTGCATTGCCGGGCAGACCGCGTCCTCCCATCGACCGTTTGCATTCTATCGTTCAATCCCAAGCATCCCGACTGTGAGATTTGCGCGCGTATCCTGGTACACAGCGCACCATGTCGGCGCCAGCGCCGACTCAACCCACCTCGCGATCCTAATGCCGATGATATTCAATATGAAGCGTTTGTACCGCAACGATTCGGCGAGGCTCTGGCCGCAGACTATATCGTCCTCGCGGCAGACGAAGCA